TGCTCATTCACTTGTGACACCAGGTCTTGGCACACACATTGGTAGAGTTTGAGTTTATATTTTTCTTGGAATAAAAGTTTAACCAATGTACATTTGATTTATTAGTTGGCTTGCCTAGCTGTAGTGTTGGGTGTCATCACGACCTACAGGTAAAATTGGGTCGTGACAGAAATGTTGTCCATTGAAGTATGATGGCCTCACTTGCGATGTTCCTTCCTGAAAGAGTGCTCCGACAATAACTTAATTTGCCATAATCTTTTCTCACAAGCTGATAAGCAAAAGAAAAAGTGTGAGCCTTGCTCTGATACCAATTAAAAGTACAAGAGGGGGGGAGGGGGTGAATTGTTTATTTTTAGATTTTAAGATGCAGAAATAAAGTGCAGGAATTAAAGACACCGGAATTTTTATACTGGTTCGGATTCAATGTGAATCCTAGTCCAGTCCCCTTGGGTTGCAAGAGAGTTCTCTTTCAGTGAATGAGTTTCTAGAGTACAATCGTGAATGGTGTGGTTTACACTAATGGCTCAGTTTCTATGTCACTCGTTTCTTTTGATACAATGCCTCACCAGTATTTTTCTCTCTTTCTTTTCTAACTTGTTACACAGTAGATCTAATAGAGTTACAATATTTGTTTGCAATAGAACAAAGAGAGGGTATTTGGTTCGATCAAAGTATATTTTTTCAAGGCTTGAGGATGTGTATAAATACTTTGTAAGAGGTCGTTGCTGAAGAGATTTATCAACCCAAGAGATTTGATCCTTGGAAAGAGATTGATTCTTTCCAAGAATAAGCTTATTTGCCGTTGCTTTTCCTTGATGAAAGAACTTTAATAGCTTTCCTTCTGCAGGTCTTGATAGCGCCGGATTTACCCCTTGATTTTTGTCCTTCCAATAATAGCAACTTGATTGATCATCTTGCAAGATCTTCGAGACTGTTTTTCTGCTTCAATCAATTTTGATTTTCTTGTCTTTGATTGATTCCTTCAATCTTGAATGATTTCCTTGAGTTCTTTAATTAATTCCTCCAATCTTGGATACTTTCCTTGAGTCCCTATATCTAGAGCAATTATATTATTTTCATCATTAAAACTAAAACCTAACAAGAGGGAACACACTCGGTTACATGGCATTCCCAATTAGCAAGAAATGCATTTTCTCGCCCTCTATAGTTTTCCGCCTTTTTACTCTGATATTTCACTGCCGAACAAACACATCTCTCCACATAATACTAACAAACCGATTTAGATACCCAGCCATGTCTTCTTACGCCGATTCTTTACTCCCTATTTTCATGCACATACACATCAGTTTGTTCCCATAATGATTCTTTATTCTCTTTCCATATCCTTCCAAACTCTTTCATCTCTCTTTTTTACACTATTTCTCTCTACCGTCTGTGCCGAATTTCTCTATACTCCACCCTCTCTACCTTCTTTTTCCGGTTCTTTTTCCCTCAAAGGTTAAATTTCGTTCACTCCCTGCTAATCTCTATATTCTTTCTTCCCCCAAATGCTTACTTTGACGCCAACGAACTCTTCAAAAAATATTGTTGTTCACTCCACAAATTCTCGTTTGTAATCCTTTCAGAATACTTTGCCCATTTATGCCTTATTCAAATATATTTGCAGCAATATTTAACTTAAATCCTAACCTAATTTAATTGTATATGTCATTGAGCCCCTAGACAAACAAGGATTACGAGGCTAAAACATGGTAAAATAGTTGAGGTACGCTCAAAAGATTCTTCACTGTTATGTTTATTTGCCTACTAAATAATTGAGGGTGTACAGATTATAAGATACTTTTAGATTGCAACATTGACACTAAGGTGTCTCTGATATATGGAGTACAACAATGTTATTTACTGCTAAATGTTTTTTGCACAAACTTCTATAACAATGTCTTTAAATGTTGATTATGCTTTAATATAGAGTTTAGACTATTTTATATTTTCATCATAACCTCAGAAATTGATATGGAATAGTTGTTCAACTTCTTGTCTTACACTTTACAGTTTACACTTTTGTGTTATGCTTACAGCTACACTACATATGCATTTAACTTAGCTGCAATCTTGTAATGATCAGAGAATGTTTTTTTACCCAAGCAAAATTGTAATGCCTTTTTGGGCACAAAATTCGACAACAATGTCTTAAAATGTTAATTATAGTTTCCCGAAATACAGTTTAGACTATTTTAACTTTATTGTAGCCTCGGCAATTGGTATTGGATAACTGTTATACTTCTCTACACTTTTGTATTCTGCTTGCTGTGACACGTGCATTTAGCATTAGCACCAACACTGTAATGATCACTTTTGTTATCAGCTTGAAGCAACGTATATGCATTAAACATAGATGCAACATTGCAATTATCAGTAAAAGACTTTTTTCTAGCAAAATTTTAGTGTCGTCATATTTTTATTTGATTATATACAGATTCTTCCTATATATGCATTTAACACATCAACAAAAGTGATTTTTACACCAATATATATAAATGTTGTTTATATATAGCTTAGGGATATGAAGTTTAGACTATATTTGATATTCATTGTAGCCTTAGATTGGTATTACAAATTACTTCAACTTCCTCCTCTGTTATTATATTCTTCTCTACACTTTCATGCTCTGCTTGAAGCGATAAAGGCTTAAACATAGCTCAAACATTGTAATGATAAAAAATAGATTCTTTTTCTAGTAAAATTGTAATGCCTTATTATTTTCATTTGATTATATATAGATTCTTGCTATATCAGTATTATCATTTTTGTCCTGTTGTACTCTTTTGTGTTCTGCTTGACGAGCGACAAATTTATTCTTAGCAGCAAAAGTCTAATGATCAGAAAAATACTTTTCTTCAGATCAATACTGTAAATTAGGAAATCTATTATCTACATGCTCCCAGTCCTTGAGGTAAATATCCTCTTTCTTAGTTTAAACTTTTGTCATTTTCTTTCATGTTTGGTTAGTGTATGATGTATCTTTGCATTCAAAATTTTAAACAATAGAAAAAATAACTTGCATGATGACTTATTGTTCTGTTGCAATTTTTGTTTGCTGGATTATCATGTGTTTATGCCTTTTTGGGTATTTGACATTTTAATATTTGATGATCGATTCTTATAAAGTTCAAGTTAAATTTAAACTATTTGTGTTAATGTCTATTGTTCTTTATTATCTTTAATATGTTTTTATGCAGTACATATTGAGTTGAGGCAAATATTGAGCTATGTTTTTTGTTGGAGGCTTGGGACAGTGGGACAAACAAGTAATTTTAAGGAATCTAATAGGACGCTTGTGTATTGATGTTTTCTCCTCCTTGAGATAGATTTAACCACAGAGATTTAAGTGGATGGGTTTTAAATTTTAAAATAAAACATTGCTTTCAAGGGAAATTGAACTTCCATCTTTTCCAGCGAACCCACAACCCTTACCGTCGAACCAAGACCCCTTTTGTTACTGGGTTCGGCAGTATATATTTATATAGATTTAGTAAATATTTCAATACAAATACAGGATTCCGAAAAAAGTTATTGGGTTTATCCGAACCCACACTCACTACTGCAGCTCTGCCCCTGATTACAAGACTAATTGGAGTTTAAAGTTAAAGCACATGGCTCGCTATTTTACTTTTGAAAACTTCCAAGGAAGTTTACAAGGTTAAAAGTAGTTTCATATGATGATGTCTTTGTATAAATATATCATAATTCATTTACTCCTTTTGTTTTTTTCTAGCTTAATTGTTCATAGCAGCAAAACTGTACACAGGAGAGTAGTCCTCTCTTCACTAATCATGTATTTGCATCTTTGTATAAAAAGAAAAGACAGAAGATGGGGATCATGTCCTAGCCCCACGCACATGTGACTTTTCTAATAATAAAGAAAAAACTTTACTAATAGAGTTTGAATAAGTAAATTCCTTTGAGGTTACTTCAAATTTGCTAATGATGATTGCAATTTGACACAGGTTATTGATGGATCCAATATACTATGTGTATCAAGTTAACTTTCTCACAAAAGAGCTACACAAAGAGGATATATGCGAACATTAGATTGCATATTACAACACTTTCATGTTGTAGTTATATCACCCAATATTTAATCCATGTATTCACTATAGGTTCTTGTAAGTTAGTCACTTAGTAGGAATGATTAGATTTGAGAGATAAAAAATTTGTAGATTGTGGAACTCTATTACTCTGAAGGAAAGTTGAGACGTGTTTATTTATGTATGAGAGTTATGTCAAGATAAATCTACAAAAAAAAACATGCGATACTTTTGATTTGATCTATTTTTATGTTTTATTTTCATATGTATTTTTTTCTTATATATTTGTCTTTTTAATTTATCATATTTATGTCTTTCATCTTATAATTATTTTTTATTCTTTATCGCTTTTCTATCAATTAAATTTACAAAAATATTATGTCCGACTGCGTGAAGCGCGGACAGATTAACTAGTATATGTATTAAATTTTGGTACGATAATTTCTTGTTTAGTAGAATTTTCAAATCTATGAATAACTAATATTTGTATTAGTTATACACTCTATTCAGTATTATTCCTATGTATAGTAAATCATGACATTAGCAATACTATAGTTTTAATACATAAAAAAAGCATATATAAGACATAATTGCCCTCTAAAAACCTTTTCCAAATTCTTTCCAACGTTTTTGGAGGGTATTTTTATAAACAAATAATTTTAGAAAAAATTATGCAATGCATGTTATTTTTAGTATACAAAACCAAACAGTCGATAAGAAATAATCAAAGCATAACTAATCCTAGAATAATCAATCCCAACATTATTAATTCCAACATAACTAATCTCATCATTATTAATCCCAGCATTATAAATACATCTTATTCAATATTATTCTTATATGCCCTACCAAACAACCTCATTGTATATCTTGAAATAGTCTCTACAAAGAGCTTTGTTTTACCTATTAATTGAATTGCAAGATAATACTTTCTCCGATTCATAATAAGTGACCTTTTGACTTTTTTATTTTGGTCCAAAATAAGTATCCTTTTACATAATTAAGAAGACATTAATTTTATTTTTTTTAAATTTGCCCTTATTTACAAATCCTAATGTGTCAAGGTAACAATATATAAATTTTAATTAAGAATAATTTAATAAATATATATTTTTCCTCTTAGAGTTAGTATTTTTTTAAGAGGTGCCCCAAAGATTAAAAAAAAAGTCACTTATTATATTATAGACCGAATTAGAGTATAAACTAATATTCCTAAAACACAAAATTACCAGCGACAATGAAAAAAAAGGGACAAACAAACAAACAAGAAATTGCATAAAGATTAATACAGTGAGGATGCAATCCAAAGAACACGTAGCAGGTAAGAATCAAATTAAAGACACTTGTGATCTACGTGTTACAACTGATTGCTTTCTAATTTTGACTTCACATTCATCCATATCTTCTAAACTAACAGTATGACAAATTAAACTTTAATAAAAACAGAAATCTGTAAAACTTTCATAAAGCAAAGGTTCTGTTTATTCAAATATTGGATAATAATTAAATTTATACGCGATTTTAAGGATAAGTGATTTGATTCTACACAAATAATTAAAAATATTGGATAAATGAATTAAATACAAAATAAGCAATCAAACCAATCGTGATATTATGGCCAAGCTTGAACTTGGGTTGAACAACGACCTCGTCTTCGATTGGACCCCCGGTTCGAGCACGGTTGTGAATGAAGAACAGGATAAGTGAACAAGAACTTTATCAGTAGCTAAAAGGCATAAAATAAACTTGTGTTGCTTTTATTCGTGTGTTACAAAAGAAAAACTTCCCCTTTATAAAGTATGAGAGTTTTACTCCTAGTGTAAGTCTAAAAAGAGTAAAAATCTTCCTTTCTCGCTAATTACTAATCCATAACCGATATCGAGCGAGATCCGCGCAGTGATATACGGTTAGGTGCAAATATCACGACCCTCTATCCTTCATGCGTAACCGTTCACTGTATTTTCTAAGGTCTTAAAATTCATTTTTGGCCATGAGATGAAAGGTCTCTAACCTCGATTACAATGTCTTAGAACACAAGAACTCACACGCAAACACACTCAAAATATGCACTTTTCATCCTTTATCACTCATACAAAGAAGACCGAAAAACCGTGCAAGCAAGAACTCTACTAGGCTCCGAAACATCTAATCTTATGTAACGACCCGATCGGTCGTTTTGAATGTATTATCCCCGATCCTCTATTTATTTCTCCCTCTATTTCATTCAGTGGTTATGTGACTTGCCGGGATGTTTGATTTTTATTTCGGGTGAGTTTCGGAGTAAAACGGGACACATAGTCCCTGAATTGGACGTTTAAGTCGTATGAGTTGTCCGTAGTCTGACTTGTGTGAATACGAACCCGGAGTGGAGTTTTGACAATTCCAATAGTTTTGTAGGGTGATTTTGGTCTTAGGAGAGTGTCCGAATATTGATTTAGTGGTCCGTACGTCGTTTTGGCGTTAATTGGCGAAAGTTGAAAAGTTGGAAGGTTTTGGATAGTTTGACCGGAAGTGGACTTTTTGATATCGGGGTTGGATTCCGATTCCGGAAGTTGGAATAGGTCCTTAATATCGATTATGACTTGTGTGCAAAATTTGAGGTCAATCGGACTTGATTTGATAGGGTTCAGCATCGAATGTAGAAGTTAAAAGTCTATAAGTTCATTAGACTTGAATTGGGGTGTGATTCGTGTTTTGATGTTGTTTGAGATGATTTGAGGCGTCGACTAAGTTCGTATCGTATTTTAGGACTTGTTGGTATATTTGGTTGAGATTCCGAGGGCCTCAGAAGGGGAGGGGGGATTCGGATCGATATCGGATCAATTGTTGGACTTGTGTTTTTTCTGAAAAATCACAGCTTCTGATGTCATCGCACCTGCAGAGGTTATGACCGCAAGTGCGGACCCGCATGTTCGAGTGAGGGAATGCAGATGCGTAGAAGGCAGCCTAGGCCAGGGCTCGCAGGTGCGGAAAAGGTTATGCAGAAACGGCATCACTTCTGCGGTGAAGAGATGCTCAAGAGCGACTGTAGTCGTAGGTGCGACAGATTTTGTCGCAGGCGTGCATGAATCTACTGTTAATTACACCTTTTAATTATGGTTTTAGAGTTTAGAATTGGGGAAAAAGTGTAGAAGTTCTTAGACCAAAGTTTTAGGTTTTGAATAGCTAAATGAGGTCAGTTTTGGATAATTTTTGTATGGTTGGACTCGATATCGAATGGGTGTTCGAATTTTATGATTTTGGTCGGGTTTCAAGACGTGGGCCCGGATCGACTTTTTGGAGCGATTTTTCAATTCTTAGCTAAGATCATTATTTCATTATTTAAATTAGTTTTATATAGTTATAGTTATAGTATGAAATTATTTCGGCTAGATTAAAGTCGTTTGGAGTTGGAAAATCGAAGGAAAGGCCTTCTAATTGATTGACTGAGCGTTGTTTGAGGCAAGTGACTTGTCTAACCTTATTTGGAAAAACTTTTCCTTAGGATTTGGTATTGTGGTGATAATGTATAATATGTGAAGGCCGTGTATGCGAGGTGACGAGTGCGTATACGGGCTAAATATTAAAATTCCAGTTTTTGCTACGTAGTTTTCTTTTCATGCCTTAATTGAGTTACTTTAATATGTTGTGATTATCACATCTAACAAAATTTCACGTGTCTACTTGTCTTATCTCCTATTTGAAACTTGTATCACATGTTTAGTTGAACTACTTGTTTTTCTTGATTTTCATATTCATTACTTAACTGTAGAATTCCTTAATTGAAATTTGCTATCCGTGAAATATTTTGCTGTTGAGTTTGGTGTTGAATTGCAAGACCGTGGTTCTGTTGAGGCAAGGTGTAAATTGTGAAATATAATTTATTTAGTTGTTGTGTATTAGCTTTCGTGTTATTGTTGAGGTGATTGTTTGGTTGTTGCACGAGGTTTCTGCCGTGCGGTTATTATTGTTTGCACGAGGTTTCTGTCGTGCCGTTGTGATTATTGATACGCATGCGGTGGTATAAGGTGTGGGTGTTGAAACGCATGCGGTGAGATATGGTGGGCTTGAGATCCTAACCACCTCTGCCGCCTCAAGTTGAGATCCTTTTGCTTAAATATGTACTGTAGACTCTGATGATCTGTGAATACCTCACACGACACGCCGTAGAGTTAATGCCTCCAAATATTCAAAGGAAGAACAATAGCTGCCAACTCTAATTCATGAACAGTGTAATTCTTCTCATGAACCTTCAACTGTCGAGATGCATATGCAATCACCCTGCCATCCTACATTAACACTGCACCAAGACCAATACACGATGCATCACAATATACAATGTAAGACCCCAAAACCATAGGCAATACCAATACCTGAGTTGTAGTCAAGGCTGTCTTGAGCTTTTGAAAGCTCAACTCACATTCATCAGACCACCTGAATGGGGCACCCTCTGGGTCAATCTAGTCAATGGGGTTGCGATGGATGAAAACTAATTTAAGGTACTTGATTTGTACCAAGCCAGATATACTCTTTGTAGTTGGAGTAGTAAGTCGCTTCATGGAAGCTCCTACCTCCACTCATTTGAAAATCGCTAGAAGAATTCTTCGCAACCTAAAAAGTACGATTGACTTTGGGCTATTTTATTCTTCTTCAAGTGATTTCAACCTTATGGATTTTGTGATAGTGATTATGCGGGAGATATTGATGAAAGAAAAAGCACAACCGGTTTTGTATTTTTTTGGGTGATTATGTTATTTCTTGGAGTTCAAAGAAACAATCAATTGTTACTCTCTCGACTTGTGAAGCTGAATATGTAGCACCAACATCCTGTACGTGTCATGCTATATTTTGTTGAGAAGATTGTTAAAGGAGCTCAATTTACCACAAATTGAAGCTACATAGATCTGTATCGAAAACAAATCTGCACAGGCACTGGCAAAGAATCTGATGTATTATGATTGAAGCAAGCATATAGACACAAGGTATCACTTCATCAGAGAATGCATTGCCAAGAAGGAAGTCGAGCTCAAATATGTGAAGTCTCATGATTAAGCTGCGGATATCCTTACAAAGCCTCTCAAGTTTGAAGATTTTCGGAGGTTGAGATCAAGTCTCGAAAAGAAGAAGAAAAATTAAAATTAAGGGGGAGATTTGTAGGACCAGCTTAAATAAAAAAAAATGGCAACAAGTTGCAACGAGTGTAGAACAAATTGGCAATTTGCAATGAGTGTAAATATTGGCCCATCAATCCCTCTAATAAATGTATTTATGTCACCCTCATCCTTCAATTCGGTTTGATCAAATAACTTTGGGCCGTTTTCTTCATGTACCGATGACTTGTTTTTATTCGCTTAATTATAGGACGGATGTAGTCTTTCGGTACAATTCACCTCCGCTCGCCACAAATATAACCAAAATTGACTTAATAAGATCAAATAATGCAAGAAAAATCAATTTCAATAATTAAAGCTACGATCTTTACACAATTGCTCAAAAGTCAACAAAAGTCAACTAAGGACTCGTCCGGTCAAAACCCGGGTCCAATGGTAGATTCCAACTACCCATGACCCCACGAGTTCATATATGTGATTTGTTTCAAAATTCGAGTCCAAATCGACTCTCAAAACTCAAATTCTTATTTTTCAAAATTTTGACAAAGTTTCACAAATTTTCACTTTGATTCACATTATTTTGATGTTAAAATCTTAGATATATTGATGGAATATGATTAGAAATAAATTAGAATCACTTACCCAAAGTTTGTAGATAAAAATTCCTCTTCAAAATCGCCTCCTACCGAGTCTAGGGTTCCAAAATATAAAAATGAGACCAAAAATCCTGTCGCTCAGCTTTTTGTCCAATCGCACGTGTCGAAATTGCGATGTGGGGTTCGAAAATGCAAACTCCGCCTGTTGTCATCGCAAATGCGATGAATAGTTTGCAATTGCGAATATAGGACTATCATAAATGCAATCAAGAAGATCGCAAATGTGAATCATCTCCCCCCAGGCACCTATCGTAAATCGAACCTAGCAGACTTGGCCTAACATCGCAATTGCGATCCAAAACTTGCAACTGCGAGACCTAAGGCACCTGTGCAAAAACCAACAGCCTTAAACTCTACCAACACTTTGCTATGCGTCCGAAACTACTCGAGCCCTCGGGGCTCTAAACCAAATATCAATACAAGTCTAAAAATATAACACGAACTCGCTCGCGCTATCAAATCATCAAAATAACATCCGAACTCACGAATCGGACCTCAAAACGCAAGAATTCAACATGAAACTCAAGATCTTCTAGAAGCACAACCACGCGTCCAATTCTTATCAAATCAACTCGGAATGATGCCAAACTTTGCGGACAAGTTCCAAATGATAAAACAGACTTATTCCAAGTCCCGAAACAGAAATCCAAACACAATAGTTACGAAGTCAACCTAAGGTCAAACTTATAAAATTTCTAAGCCTTTAAATTGTCAACTTTCGGCAAAATAATATAAATCAACCGACGGACCTCCGAAATCGATTCAGAACATACGCTCAAGTTCTAAATCACGATACGAACCTATCAGAGCCATCAAAACACCGATACGGGGTCATTTTTATAAAAGTCAAACCTCGATCAACATCTTCAACTTAAGCTTATAAAGTGAGAATCACTCATCCGAATTCATTCAGAAAATCAAATCCGACCATGCACGCAAGTCATAATACAAAATATGAAGTCATTCAAGATCTCGAACCACTGAACAGAACCTTGAAGCTCAAAACGACCGGTCCGATCGTTACAATATAATAGTAATTACCCCAGCTTCCCACCGAATTTCATGATGGAATCATCCAAAGAAAAATTGGCAACACTATTGGGAAACTACTCAAGTTGGACGCATGTACATCAACCACCTTGAGGGGGAGATATGCCATATTGTGCATAGAAATGCCATTGGAACAACCAGTACCCACAGACGTGCTCGTTGGATTACACAGACAACAAATCATATACGAAGGAAAAAACATTTTATGCAAATCCTGTGGAAGATTAGGGCATGTAAGCCATAAATATCCCTACTACTTTCAACCAATCCAAACAAAGGGAGAGCACAATATTCCACGTCCATTACGAGTTGAACAAGAAAGAGATCAGGAGTGGAAGACGGTTACTTTTCCCAAAAAAGGCACGGTAAGAGAATTCAAAAAGCCGAAACAGTTGTCAAGCACTTCAAAGGTCACATGTATAAATGTTCGAATTTATGATGCACCCACGGGTAAGTATCTTAATACACAACAATTGAAATATGTCCATAAGTAGTGCTTAGAAGATGCCGATGTAAATACTATTATCCACAGACAATCTCCAAATACTAGCTCAACAAATTAAAATGCTTCGTTAAGTGTCAAGCCAACCGGTAATCACTAGACGAAGAGCCCATGGTTTTGGAAAAAGATGAAATTTACTCTAAAACCACAGACCACTTGCATGACCCTCTAAACTGGGTACAAACAAGTGGCAAAAATGTGTCAACAACTTCATGCACGACTAATGATATTCAAATGGACTCAATTAACCAAGATATCAATAATTACAAAAATTTTATCACTACTAATCAGACAACTCTCATCTCTAATAATAATGCTCCAAACGAGGACTACTCTATTGTTAACCGATTAACTAAGGATCATCAATATGCAAGATCTTCTAATAATAACCAACTACATAAGGAACACATGGAAAACGAAAAGAGACAAGTGGATGATATGATATTCATGCAAGATCTTGATATAACCCTCATGCAAAGCCCCTCAAACTCCATGCAAATAGACCCCATCATTACAACATCCCCTACCACTCCCCTTCCAAACACTCCTGGTATAAAGAAAGGGATTCTAAACGATGCCAAGGATACCAATAACACTAATAAGGAGGTACATATTGATCCAACTGTAACGATTTCATCGCAACCTAAATATGAACAATCTTCCACCCCTCCCTCCCCACTTCACATCCAACCTAGTGATCTATGCTCAACTATCAAACCCACCCAATCACTAACCCCAGTCTTGGGTGGAACTGAGACTCATGAGACATGCTATCTCCTTCAACCTGGAGATCAACGGACAAGATTCCATCCTGATCATTCAAAATACACACTACCTAGCACAACTCATCTCGAAAGGGATGAACCTATCAATGAACAATTATATAAACCAAATGTGGATAAATAACATTTTACAACCCCTTGCTCTATCCATGAACCAAAATCTGGTACAGAACATGCATCAGATGTGGAACATATCAATCACCTCCAACAACAACCACATTCCATAAAATGTTCCACTAAACATGCCATTATTCGCACGGAAAGAACTGACCTTGATGAATCCAATATTCACCCAATGGACAACACAACAGACGAAAGCTCAACAAATGGAACCACACCAACATGCATCCCCAATGGAGGAGCAACCACCAGCTCCAAACATGGAAAATCAGGAAGGGTTACAAGAAGAAGAGGAGGAGGAGATCTTATCTCACCTAGGGGATCCATCAGTAGATTTTTCAAGCCTCAACGAGGTAAAAATATTAATATTCAAGGAGAGGCTAGACAAGAAATGTATCTTCAGTTGTCTAGTGACACTCTCCAAGTGTTTCCTGGACATAAGACCTCTCCATGATCCCACGATAGGAAAGAATGCGGTGATACTAGTGCATCACTAAGAAGGAACAATGGACCTCTGACGAGGGACATTTTAACCAACAACCAACCCTCAAATGATGAACCAAGCAACTAACTTCATTATTTGGAATGTGAAAGGTGCTAATAATGATAACTTGAGAAGAAACTTTAGAGAGCTAATTGAACCTTTTAGAAACCTGCCCAAAACACACTCAGACCATAACGCTATCCTACTTTCCCTAAAAAATAAAATATACAACAACCTAGAAAAATCTTTTAAAATTGAAACCATATGGTGTTCACATCCTTATTTTATCAATGTCGTTCGTAATAGTTGGAATGGTGGAGACCTTATTGGAGGAACAATTATTTTTTAAAAATGAAGTCCTTAACTGGAAAGCTAATACTTTTGGTAGTATCTTCACCAAAAAAAGAAAGCTCCTAGCTAGACTAAAAGGAATCCAATACTCCCCTAAGTACACTAGTAGTAATTTCCCCTCTCAACTAGAAGAAACTCTAATTGTTGAATATAATGATATCCTAAAGCTTGAAGAGGACTACTGAAAACTAAGATCTAGAGTAAGTTGGTTAAATGATGGTGATGCGAATACTAAATATTTTCACATAAAATGCTAAAAATAGAAGAAGGATAAATAACATTATTTTTTCAAAGATGATAATGGAAACTAGCTGGATGATCAAAATTCTATTATGAACCATACAACAAATTTCTTTACAAATCTTTTCACAACTTCTCATGATAGCTCGAACTGGTCATGCATAAGAAATGATACCCCGACTTTCCATACAATTAATTTATCGATCCTTGACAAACCCCTAAGAAACCATGAAATAAGAAATTCAGTTTTCTCCTTCAAGCCATACAAGGCTCCTAGACCGGACGGACTGCACCCTTTCTTTTTCTAAAAATATTGGTACATCGTGGGAAGTAAGGTAATAAATCTATGCCACAATATTTTTCAAACAAAGACAATCCCCTCAGACATTAATGAAACCTATTTATGTCTCCTTCCCAAAGTAAAAAATGCAAATAATCCAAAAAACTTTAGACCTACAAGTTTGTGCAATACCATTTACAAAATTATATTACAAAAATAATTTCCAAATTTATTAAGCCCTTCCTAAATCTCCTTATTAGCGATGAACAAAGAAGCTTCTTAAAAACCAGGAGGGATAGTGATAATGCCATTATCATTCAGGAAATCATGAAAAAAAAAACACGTCAAAGGGTAAACCAAGCTTTCTTCTAAAAATAGATTTAGAGAAGGCTTTTGATAAATTAGAATTGTCTTTCATCTACAGAACTTTAAAATTCTTCAAATTCCTCCTAATATTACCACTTTAATCTTAAATTGCATCACAACAACCAATGTATCCATTCTTGTCAATAGGAACAAATCTAAGAACTTTTACCCTACAAGGTTAATTGGGCAATGAGACCCCATCTCCCTGTAAAGATCCGGCTTGTCATTTTGAGTAATTACTCTCTTCTCTACTATTTAAAGTCTCGAATAATTTTATATGATGTATTATGACTTGTATGCAAAATTTGAGGTCAATCGGACTTGATTTGCTATATTTCGACATCGATTCTTCAAGAATACATGGTATCATATTAAGAAAATGAGCTCAAAATTCGGTTTTGATTGAAGAATTAGATTCGTATTGAAATTTTGGAGCTATATCAAAAAGAATCATCGAATTCGGACATCGTATGAGAGAGTTATGCCCATTTTCCGTGTCAGGAATAATTTTCCGTCGCCGTCAGCGCCCAGGGTAGCGTGGGGCGCTAGCCCTGGTGTTGGGATGTTTAAAGGTACTGGAAATAGCGCCACAAACAGTGCCCCACGCTACTTGTGGCGCCCGAAATAGCCGAGACCCTATAAACAAGGGTTTTCTACTATTTTTGACAAAAATAGAGTTGGGGAGCTCGATTTGGGCGATGTTTGCGCGATTTTCACGGGTAAACATTGGGGTAAGTATTAATTATCCTATATTGATTATATTTTATGTTTTCATACTCATTTACATCATGAATCCGTGAATTTATGGAAGAAAAATCAGATTTTTGTAAAACCTTCCAAAAATATAAAATGAAGATTTGAAGGTCAATCTGATATCGAAATTTGATAAAATTGGTATGGGTGGACTCGTAATTGAATGGGTTATTGGATTTTGTGAGTTTCGTCAGATTCTGAGACGTGGGTCCAACATGCGATTTTTGAGTTAAATTTCGAATTTTGTTTAAAAATTAGTATTTTCATATGGAATTAATTCCTATAATTAGTATTGACTGAAGTGAATTAATTTGGATAGATTTGAGCTATCCGGAGGTCAATTCAAGCAAGAAGGCAATTTTAAAATATCGGCCTAACTTCAAAAAGGTAAGTATCTTGCCTAACCTTGAGTGGAAAAATTACCCCTTAGGCATCAAGTCTTATGTGACATTTGTGAAATAAGAAAATCCGTGTACACGAGGTATTTTATATGTGCAAAATTGATTGGGTTAAAGTCTTAGGTATATTATGTAGTAAATTGGATAATTGTTGGCATTTATTAAATCATCTATTTTCCATGCCTCAATTCGCGTTTGTTGAATTTGTTTTTATATGACAATTTGATGTGGTTATTGCTTGTATATTTATGTGAATTCCGTGAGTTTGGTGATTTGATATTTTCTGAAAATAATTATATTATGGATTTTTCATCTGCAAATAATTAATGAAATAAGTTTAAACCGAGACGTTATATAATTATCAAGAATTTAGATTAATGAAGGCGTTGCCCTATACTGAGTATTTTCCATCTCTGTTGTTGTTTTGAGGTTTTATACATATTGTGTGGAGCCTTGGGCTATTTGTTGTGAAATTAATTGATTTTATTTTATCTTTGAAATTGGTTGTGGTCATTAGGCAAATTGTGATATGAATTGATTTTGTTATGTTGTCGTGATAATATTCTGTGTAAATTATTGTGTTAATTGAGTTATTATTTTGAGGATATAAGGGTGGCATTTCACTGTTGATATTATGTGGGTATAAGGGTGGCATTTCACTGTTGATATTATGTGGGTATAAGGGTGGCATTTTACCGTTGTTATGTGTGTTGGGATATTGTCTGGGCGGAGCGATAAAGGTGGCTATAGGAGAGATAAGGGTGGTTATAGGAGTGATAAAGGTGGCTATTGATATTGTCAGGGCGGAGGGATAAGAGAGTCTATTATAGGAGTGATAAGGGTAGCTATATGAGAGATAAGGGTATATATAACAGCGATAAGGGTGGCTATTGATATTGTAAGGGATGAGGGATAATTGAGGCTATAATAGGAGTGATAAGGGTGGCTATAAGAGAGATAAGGGTGGTTATTATCAGGGATGATATGTGATAATGTGGGGTTATTATGTAGGTAATTTTTATGTGATGTTGTGATTTTCATTGTGTTTATTTTTATACCTTGTGCAATTTGTCTCGTTGTTGGTAAATTGATAATAGTCTAACCTATGTTGAAATTGAGAGCTTATGGTTATTGCCGGGCGGATTATGAAATGAAATATGGGCACGATGTGCCGTGAGTAAATAATGATGATATTGGCACGTGAACTGCCCGTGCAGTTGTGATATAGACGCACAATACAAGTGGAGCGATGTTATATGGCCCTAAACAGGGATCTTGATAAAAAATTGTGGAGAAGACTTGCTCGTTAAGGGGAAAAACTAAATAGAATATACTCAAAGTATAGCAAAGTCGATGAATAGTCCAATGTGCAGTTTTCCCTCTCATAACTTCATCTAGAGTGCCATCACACTCATCCATCACTTTGATAAATTAGACTTTCCCTCTCGTGGAAATATTTGTTTTAGAAAATTAAACATTCTGGTCAACCTTTCTTACTTATGCAAATGCCAGGAAACTGGGGAGTGGATCCTAACATTTTGAAATCTGTCCTTAATTACTGGTTATTTGCAATGTATAAAAAATATTGGACAGTCTAAAGAAACAAGTATATAAAAGCTTCTCATTAAGATAGAATTGAAAGTTTAAGTTAAATTATTTTTTAAATTTAGAAAAAGATTATTCTTTTTGAAACAAACTAAAAGGGAACGGAGGGAGTAATATTTTTCAAAGTCAAGAAAAATCCAGCAAGTCTTATTCACAACTTTATCATGGTCCTATTTGAGCCCGTATATACACCTCCCCAATTGATGAAGTGAAAGTCACCCGACTGGATCCCCAAAAATGTATTTGGTACGACTGCAGTTATTACTTAAAAAATTATTTTCGCCAACCAATTTTCAATCAAAACTTTCTTTCATAAAATCAAACACAAACTTTGGAACGAACAAAAGAAAAGAGATAAACAAAAAACGTCATTAAATTCATAAAGTAAAATTGAAGGACTTATTGGTGAGACAGAAAGCTAAGCAAAAAATTTACTAGTATTTCAAGTGGGATTTAAAGAATAAATTAAATTCTTATTAACTCCACCACCCTTTCAAGCTTGACGATACCGTGTTCTTCTTTAAATGGGATTTAATTTAACTTATTAAACATATACATTGTAGCTAGTTAACTTTAACTAAAGGAAATGGAAAAGGGACAAATGATGAACTGTATAAATTAGACAATTGAAGTATCTAAGAAGAAGCTATATACAACTTAGAAAGATGGTGATGGTGCAAATACATTCCGCGTTTTTCATCCACTTCAACCCGAAGAAACTTATTCAATGGTATCGCTAGCTGATTTGGGTCCCCAAATCCTTGGGTTTTAGCGCATCAAAAGTGTGAGACAATGAAGGAAAATTCTCCTGCCCCAAAATAGGGGTTTAAGTGAATAGAAACAAGTCATTGGTACGTGAAGAAAATGGCACCATAGTTCTTTGATTAAACTGAATTGAAGGATATGAGAGGGATCCATGGGCAAAGAAGACTTCGTAGAAAGACTTGTTCTACGAAGACTATTACATGAACATGGAAAATTACTATATTATCTCGGTTTTAATTTATGTGATAACTTTTTTTATTACAAGATGTATGACAGTAGTCCATTATATATCATATACTTATCTTTTTTACTCGATTAAACCTTATTTTGGATTGGAGGAATTTATCTTCGATGTTAATGTGACAATCGTTTTACACACATTTGATACTTCAAATTTTTCTGCGCCGTCTTCTTCATATAGCATTAGGCATATGACTTAGTTGTATATCCCCTTGAAGACTATTTCATGAACTAGAAAAAATACTATATTATCTTCGGTTTTAATTTATGTGACAATATTTTTCATTATACGATATATACAGTAGTCCCTATATGTCATATACTTCTCTTTTTTACTATATTAAACCCTTTTTTGGGTCTCAGAAATTTATTTGTCATTGATGTGACAGTCGTTTGACGCATTTGATACTTCAAACTTTTCCTGCGTTGTCTTCTTTTTGTTGGAAACTTCAAAGGCACAGTTTTTGGACACTGATGGAGAACCTTTTATAATACATTTTTTTCAAAGTGAAGCATTTGTTATCGGCCTAATCTGATGGTTTTGAAAATATTTTACGTTTTATATCTTTAGAATTGAGGATCATTATTTTTCATGGATTTAACTAAAGAATTTCCTCCAAGGGTAATTTTATTTACCAAAAAATAAAACGGTAATTTTGCCTCGTATATATAAGATGCGGGTGTATTGAAAATTTGAGACTACAAACCATCACATTTTATCTTCTTCTTTTTTTTTAAAAAAAAAAAGGTGAAATCCCATCTAATTATATAAAATGATATCACCACATACTAAAAGGAACTAAAGGTTGTTTTCACTACATCAATTGGGGTGTTGTAGTCGGAAAAGACTTGCTAGAGTCCTCTTGACTTAGCAAGAAATTAAGGTCCGTCAAATATAATCTTTTATATGGTTTTTAAAAGGACAAAAATAGTTTAAAATCAACAAGTCTTCCAACGGTCAATATCTTTCTAGACAATGTATTTTTCAACTACAGTTCTAAATGCTATATATACGTATGCTTGGCCTAATAACAATCTATAAGCAAACACCTATTTGATATACATTCAATTCCTAATCTAAAACTTTGCACATCATGAAGGTTTTAGCAAAATTATTCTGTTTTTTCTTGTTTTTCATTTTGGGAATCACCAAGTTTAGTGTTAGTGTAGGAATTTGCAGAGAAAATGAGCAACAAGCATTGGAGAGTCTCAAGAAAGAAGTATATGATCCCTCAGATTCTCTCTCCTTTTGGATTGTTGGAAAAGATTGTTGTGAATGGAAAGGGGTTGTGTGCCACAATCTGACTCGTCATGTGATTGAGCTACACATATATGGGTTTTTTGGATATCTAAGGATCAATAACCTTGAGTGGCTGCCAAGTCTTTTAAATCTTGAAAATCTAGAGATTGATTATGTGGATCTCAGCAAAGCAACTAACTGGCTACAGGTCATTAACAAGCTTCCTTCTCTTGTTGATCTTAGTTTATATAATTGTAGTCTTCATCATATACCACCTCTACTTAATCATAATTTTTCTTCACTTGAAACACTCGACCTTTCTAGGAATAACTTTAGTTCTTCTATTCCCAAATGGGTTTTCAATCTCCCTAGTCTTGTTTCTCTTGATTTGAGTGATAGTAATTTAATCGGCCCATTTCCTAAAGGTCCTGTTAACTTTACTTCTCTCATGACCTTCATGGCGGGTTTCAACTCTTTCAATTGTCTTTTACCCGGATGGTTGTTTGATCTTAATAATCTTGAATATCTTGGGCTTATATCCAGTGGTATTAAAGGTGCGATGCCGAGTGGGGCTGGCAACGTAACAAAACTTAAAAATCTTGATCTTACATTCAATAATATTGAGGGGGAACTATCTGAATTATTTAATGATAGGAATAATTTTCTTCCAGCGGGATTGAGAAATAGCTTTTCTTTGACGGAATTGTATCTAGGAAATAATAAACTGACTGGAACTCTCCCAAAAAGTCTTGGCCAACTCACAATGCTAGAAATTATTGACATTTCTAACAATAGGTTGGAAGGTGTCGTAACAGAAAGTCATTTCACCAACTGCACACAATTAAGACAGTTCTTTGCATCTAACAATGATCTAACTTTAAAAGTGAGTCGGAACTGGATTCCACCTTTTCAAGCCATAGATATTGATATAGCCAACTGGAATATAGGTCCTCTATTTCCCATGTGGCTCCAAACTCAAAAGAATATAAATAGTGTGGACATATCAAATGGTGGAATACAAGGTGAGGTTCCAACTTGGTTTTGGAACTTATCTTCTCAAATTCAATTACTTGATATTTCTCACAACCAATTTATTGGTGAGGTTCCAACCATCTCAACACCTTCTTGGTCACCTAGACAAGCTTATTGGTTAATGTACTTGGATTCCAACAATTTCAGTGGTCTGCTACCTCAGATTTCACCCAATGTAACTGTGATAGACCTCTCGAACAATTTCTTTTCAGGGGGTTTATCTCACTTCTTGTGTGAAACAAATAAGAGCAGATCCTACAAATTGGAGGTCTTAAACCTCGAGGGAAATGATTTGTCAGGAGTAATTCCTGATTGTTGGATGAACTGGCCAGAGTTGAAAGTTATAATCTTGAGGGACAATAACTTGATTGGGGGCATACCAAGATCCATGGAGGTTTTAAATAACTTGATATCCTTGGACTTCCGAAAAAATAGACTTACCGGTCCATTGTCTTCATCATTGGAAAACTGCACAAAATTGCAGAAGATAGATATAGCTGAGAATGAGCTTGATGGACAGTTACCACCATGGTTGGGAACGAGGCTTTCATATTTAATAATCCTTAGCCTTAGCTCAAACAAATTCTATGGTGAATTGCCTCTAGAAATTTGTCACCTCAAAGATCTTCAGATCTTAGACCTTGCAAACAATAGTTTCTTTGGAATTATACCAAGGTGTATTAGCAATCTAACAGAAATGGTCTCCGTAAATAAGTTGGGGGAAACTGATATTATTTATTCTTCTCATTATTTTGAAGCACGTTTTAGAGAAAGCGCAATGGTGACAACTAAAGGCAATATTTACCAGTATGATAAAATATTGGCATTGGTTACAAGCATGGATATGTCTAACAATAATCTCTCTGGAGATATTCCTATAAGTTTTACCAGTCTTGTAGGATTGAAATTCTGTAATTTCTCAAAAAATCATCTGACAGGCAAGATCCCAAATGGCATTGGTGACATGAAAGTGCTGGAATCCCTTGATCTTTCAGAAAATCAACTTTCTGGTCAAATCCCGCAAAGCTTTTCGAGTTTGTCAACTTTGAGCTTCTTGAATCTATCTTATAACAATTTGTCAGGGAAGATACCTGTGGGCACTCAACTTCAAAGCTTTAATTCCTCGAGTTTCCAAGGAAATGAACTTTGCGGGCTTCCACTCTTGGCAAACTGCAGTTCAAGTGGTCGAATTCCTGATGTTGATATTGAAAAGGATGAGAGTGATGAAGATGAACTGGATTGGTTCTACATTTCAATGGCAATAGGATTTGGTATTAGCTTTTGGGGAGTATGTTCTTGTTTGCTTTTCAAGAGATCATGGAGACATGTCTATTATCGTTTTTTAGATAGTTGTTGGGAATCCTTGTGTGTAAAGTTACAAATATGGGGATGGATATGATTGAGGAGATTATTATTCTCAAAAGTCTTATTGAATGTTTACTTTTCCTTCAATAAATAATTAAAAACTGTTTGTCGTTGATATTTCTTTGGGCATTTTGTTTTAATCTCCCTAGTTACAGTAGATAACTGTTTGCAAATGACTATTTAAGGAAACAAAACAAATATAAACTTGTTAAAAATTTCAAAGTTCTTAACTAGTGTTTTCTGATTTAAGTCCGTCTACCCCAGAAAATTGCGAAGTTAATATCCTTTCCACTATGCGCGCTGCCAACAGATCAAAGAGCTGATAAATTGTATAAATGTTGCCTTTAAAAAAGAAACCAGAAGATTTGAAAATAAATAATCCCTCTGTTTCAATCTCTCTTTTGCTACTGCAAAGGACTCATTTCCAGCCATTGAATACTTAATTAATAGAGAGCGAAAACTTCAGTTAAAAACTGAAAGAACATTCCATTAGGAAATGACTTTGTATTGTTGCAGATCATTCTCAAAATAGAGCAGAGAAAGCAATCGATTGAACATTGTACTGTTATCAAATTCCTACAAAATAGAAGAAAATAAAAATTTCTGTTGGCTTTTACAAGGTAGTCTCATAACATGCATATAAAACTAAACAAGATTAACCTCTGGGTGATTGTATTGTTCTACATATCTGATACTGGGAATACAAAATGAGTCCAGGACATTTGAGACATTATCAATGCTGTCAAAGAACAAAGATTTTCAGGCAACTTCCCGATCAACTTGGGGCAACCTTCAATTGCAAGTCTCTTAAGTGTAGGAAACTCTCCTTTCCCTAGTATATGCCGCTGCTTCCACTCAATTATTCAATGCATCCCTCGGATGGCAAGGGCTTTCAATGCAAGATCTGCAATATGCTCTTACATTAAACAACTCTGTCATAACTCACAAGAATTGACGAAGAAAGCAATGTTAAGGGATGCAATCTGGCAATACATTCTTAAAATCACTAGCTAACACTTGATGAAGAACCAAAGGCTTTTGAATTGTTCAACATTCTAGCATAGTATATTTGCTATCAAATGCAGTTTTACACAACAACCAGAAATCAAAAGATATTATATGTGCTTAAATAATGGAAGCAGACTACCTGACTGAAAGTGAGCTTGCCTTTCTCTGCGCCTGCAATTCGACGAGTGATGAAAGGAGTGCTTGCAAAGGATCTCGTGGAAAACTTCAGATATGAACCTAAAGTCGAGTTTGAGGAAATGACAATTTTAAAGTTGAGCCCAGGCTTAGACAAGAATCAGCGACAGAAATGCAAAACGACACAAGAAATTTGCATCACCTGAAAATGTAACTCTTGTCCTTTGTGGCCATAGGCATGCAATAGCAATTTCGTCTCACGAGTTTGATTCAAATGGGTACTTACTATCCCTTTGCAGGTAAAGCTGGAAAGATGTAACACCTCTTATCAAATGCAAAGATCTTGTAACCTTTCTTATTCTGTATAAGGTAAAAAGGACTTAGCTTTTGGGTGGCATCCAGCTATTTTTACAGTTGCACAACATGAATTCCTCTTCTAAAAAATTCTCACTTATTACATGCTAAACTAACACCATAAATTATACTTAAATATATTATTCTGCAAGCTTGTTACAGAAAATCACACAGTCAGACAATTACATCGATAATTTCGTCGAGAGATGGAAGGAGTGATTCCATAGGTTCTGTTGGCAAACTTCATCTACGAACTGAAAAAACATTACATGATCGGAAATGACAAGTTTAATTTGCTATCCAACCCCGGCTTAGGCAAAAAGCAAAGACGGAAATGTGGAACAACAGAAGAAATTAGCATCACCTGAAAACTACCACAATTAGAGGGATTAATGTTGCGCTAAAACTACCATTCATGTTGTCTGTTGTACAGGAAGTGATTGGAGAGAGAGAGGGACAATTCAAATTCATGTGGTAACTTTTCTCTTTTGCTACTATCATCATTAGTCGCCTATCTTTCTAATAAAGGATCACATGAATGTTGAAAACTGACTCGCGCCTTTTGCTATAATTTAGGCAAATTACACTTACATTTATGAAACAAAACAAAACTAACTGAGAATATATTGGAAGTGGTATTGCTGCCAACTACTGACAATGGAAGTTTACTTATTTCCTAGATAATTGGGATGGTTGTCCGCAATTTTTTATATGTATATATNTATGTAAATATGTGTTTGTGTATATTTGAAATATAACTTCTATATGGAGCTTTAGAACAGAGCTAGCGTGTAATAACAAGCAGAACATAATCCATGTCCCTGGTAGCAAATTGAACAAATTGGACGTCATTAGTTGTGGAGAGGTGGATCATTCTGACAAATTTTTATCTTTCAAATTTATAATGGAAACCGAAACATAAAGCAGTAGGATGGTTTGATTTAACTAGGAAAGAGTACAAATACCTACAGATTCATTAGAGAGGCTTCTAGCAAAATGGTTCCCTTTCTGTAAACATTGCTTTGTGATCTGCTACGATATGTTGGAAAGGAAAACCTGGAAGTGGTGCAATGCTGAAGAATTTGGTAGACAAATGAATGTTAACAGAGCACAGCCTCAGACCAAAGTATTATTTGTCACACTCAGCTATCACGAAGTTGCGGACCTACACCTTTGAAAAAAATATCAGTTCTGATAGTTAAGAGAACTGGATGTCTAGGGATGGCAGTGGGCGGGGCGCCGGGTTCGGGGTGGGTTTGGCAAAACTCACAAAAATTTCGCCCCTCCCCGCATAGTTATTTTTTCAGCTTTCAACCCGCCCCACTTAAGTTTTTTTTCTTTTTATTTTATTTTTTTTCTAAAACAAACTAGTTTGACATACTCCAATCATACAAATAAATGAGGACAAGTACTTTTATTATGTGATGCCATATTAGATATAGGAGGATACACAACACTGAAATGGCTTGTACAAAGGAAACTTTAGACCTTTTCCCTACAAATTATATACTATCAACAACAACAACAACATACCCAGTATTATCCCACACCGTGGGGTCTGGGGAGGGTAGTGTGTACGCAGACCTTACCCCTACCTTGTGAGGATAGAGAGGTTGTTTCCAATAGACCCTCAGCTCAGGAAAGCATAGCACCACATTAATGAAAAAATACACAAGGGACAATACCAAAAAGCCATATAAAAGCAGAATAGAAACAACAAGACAGTAAGGTGATCAACAATGAAAGAAAACAACGGCTAGTCATAAAAACCTACTACCAACAGAAAGCGAGACTGCATGCCAATACTACTGTTATAAATACTCTAGACTACCTACTCTACTACCCTAATCCTCAACCTCCATACCTTCCTATCAAGGGTCATGTCCTCGGTCAGATGAAGTTGCGTCATGTCTTGCCTAATCACCTCTTCTTCGGCCTTCCTCTACCTCTCCGTACGCCCTCTAATGTCAACCTCTCACACCTCCTCACCGGGGCGTCTGTGCTCCTCTTCTTCACATGACCAAACCACCTAAGCCGCGCTTCCCGCATCTTGTCCTTAATAGGGGTCACACCCACCTTGTCGCGAATAACCGCATTTCTGATCCTATCTAACCTGGCCACCCACATTATGTATCTACAAATGCTGTCATTGTAATGTATATGAGAATGATACAGTAAATAAATAAAAATTTGAAGATATTGACCTCATGTAAAATATTTATGCTTATTTAGCATTTATCAAATAAAAAACTAAATTAATCATAATAATCATAAATTAAAGTAAATTTATACATTTAATTACGATTAAGTGATAAAAATGGAGTATAAGATACAGAAAAAACCTAATGTGATCCGTTTAGGTATCATATTTTGTGTATATCACCTTTTTTCACAATATATGTGATAGTTATCACAAAACAATTTTGATATTGGATTAATTACGTGAATGGCAAAGTTTGTATTTTGTGTAAAGAACTCACTATCATATTCAATGAAATCGACAAGTTAACACATGTTATAATAAACATATTATTGGTTAATTAGATATCTGATTCATTTCTTGTTTGCTTAAGTTAATTCTCAGTTATTGGGGTTGTCAAGTTATGTAAGACTGAAAACATGAATCATTTTCTAGGGGAAGAGTATGTTTTCAAGATTAAGATTATACGATAACCATTACTATGCCCAATGAAGTTGTGATCAGAAAAGATTAAATTCAAAGCTGCCCCGCATTGAACCCACATTAAACCCGCAGCCCACCCCGCTTTAAAATTTTTAGAAATTGTTTTAACCCGGCCTGCCTTGCCCTGCCCCGCACCCATATTAGAGTAAACTCGCCCGCCCCATCGCCATCCCTACTGGATGATATAATTGATACTAGAAAATGACTAGTCCTTTTAGTTGCTGTTTGAATTTCGACATAGGAAGAAACTTCTGTACAAAGGTTTGCACAACATTTCCTTCTCGTAGTGATGAAAGAATAGTAGTACTATCAAATTCCACACAGAAGAGAAGTGTTTTTTTTCTTCACTTATGCTTTTTTGAGAAGAGAAGAAGCATATTAACAGTTCTAGTATGCATTATTGGAGATAAATATAGGAAGTTATAATTACTTTGGGTGTCTTAGACAGAGTAATTTCTATCTTGAAGTAATCTCTACAGAAAACTTTGTTTTACGTAGTATAATTACTAGATAATATAAAGAAGTACGGTAAACTAGTTGTGTGTTCTAGTATAAATTACTAGCATCTTGTAGTTTTCTGTAAAGACCCTTGCTAGAGATAAGGATAAGGCAGATAGTGGCGGAGATGTTTTCTGCAACTGTAGGCTATCTTTTATCATTTATTACTACGTTTGTGGGGGTATCAGTGATTCTTAAGAACTGATAGAACCGATCGAACAAAATCTATTTCAACTTATTATTAGGTTTTTAATTTTAAATAAAATTATAGGTTTCAATATAAATTTATAATCTAACCAAATTATTAAGGCAGCTCTTTAATTTTTTCATGAATATGTTTTAGTCTTTTAGAGATTGCGGAAAATTAATTTCTGTCAAAATTATTGCTAAAGTTTGAATGATACTCTACTCTCTACATTCTTGAAAGATTTTTGTTTTAGACCTTTACTCTACTCTTAACGTTCAAGATTTTGTGAGGTTTAATAAATTAATCATTTTTGCAAAGAAAATTAACACTATCACTATAGTTTTATTTTACCAGTGTAACATATTATTTACCATGTATGTCTGGTTATTTATACTTGCTATAAAAGTTACTTATAGTTGACATATAGATGATCTAATTGTATGAAAAATTTACATCATCGCAGATTTTATTTGGTTTGCATCAACGCACAATCACTTCAAAATTTTGGGAAAATATTAGCGAGACCGATGATTATTAAGTAGTTTTTTTTAATTAAAAAAACATGCTATTGCCAACTCGAAAGGTTAAAGAGATCGTGTTAACTATTACTCTTTCGATCACCACTTGCAAGTTGTAAATGGTAGGATGCCCTATGTGTTATTTTATGTTCCAACAATTGGTCCAACATGGAAAAAAGATCAATAACATCATTTTATGAAGTTAATGATAGATATGGTTTTTTCTCTCTTTACTGTTCTTGATTGAAAAAATAATAAATGGTGAATCCAGCAAGTTGCATTCATTTTATCAATCAAGATAGTGTACAAGGACCTGTATAGGGACTATAATAATGTTTTGGAGAAGACTTTCTTTATTGGTTTCCCACTTGGTATCCGATACTCGCATTTAGGCCCAGACTAATCTTGATTCGTGCAGAGCAAGCCTCAAAATGGAGAAGCACTTCCTATCAAGGCTTTATCATATCCGGAGCTCAAATCGACTGATTAAGGGTGTAGGACGAAGTATATGGACCCACATTGGGAACATGATAATGTTTTGGAGAAGACTTACAGGCTATGTTGCGCGGACTCTCCAAAATGATGTTGCAGCCGTGTCGGATCCTCCAAAAATACACTATTTTTGGAGGATCCGACACTCACCCGGTAACATTTTCGGAAAGTCCTAGCAACATAGGTTACAGATCTCTTGTATAGAAACATTAATGTCCAGTCAATTGTTAAGAAAAAACAAAGACAAAGACTTCATAATAATAGAGTGAGTGTGGGTTTTTGTACACCACCCCAATTGATAAAATGAATACTATCTACTAGATTCACCATTTATTGTCCTTTCAAGAAAAGAGATAAAAATCAAATAAATGATAAATTGATAAATATATTTATCGTTGACTTCATATAAAATTGATGTTAAAAAGACCTTTTCTCCATGTTGGATCTACTAGCCAAATAGAAAGGGGAGATTGGCACAAAGGGGCTAAGTTGCTCGGACACGGGTGCGCGTGTAGGATACGGTGCAGATCTAGAGGTCGAATCCTTTGAGACGTACATTCTAAGATTCGGGGATACGGATCCTAAAACAGATACAAGTGCGGGGATTCGACTAAAAATAATTCAAAAAATGAAAATAACAAAATATCTCTAAATTATGAGAAATTTTGTGGAATACTTACGCATAACTTATCAAGAATTTTGTTAACCCGGGAGAAGGTGTGAGGCACTCCCGGATTTCATGGTTTGAGCACGGTCGCCTTACCATTATGCTCGGCTTGATTATCTAACTATTACATGTTTTAGACCTATGTGCATTTTAACCTTTTACCGCTTTTATTTGTATATTTTATGGATTTTATTTTAAACAAGTTACGATGTCGTACACTTGTTGTTTTATACATGTCGCAAATCGCCCCACGTGAAACGCACCCGCAATTTACAACATGTTCATTTTATTATCATTTGAAGTTGTAAAGTCACATACGAGCACTCGAGGTTGGGATTTAAGTGTCACGATTATGCCACGGGAGCCGTACCTATAACTATGACGATTTATTTCTTAAAACGCGCCTAAAGCAACTAGCGCGTCTATAATTGTGTTTTAACTACATTTGAGATGTATTGTGAGACAAGGAATTATGGAACAATTGAGGGAAATGAGTTAGCTTTTGTCCTTATTAAGTTGGCCTGATGAAAATAAATTTATTTGGTGTTCTATCCAATAAACTCGACGCCCACTAAAACATAACTAAATTGCATTCTGTCAAAGAAAACTCATTATGCAACCTAAACTACTTAATCCTTCAAATTATTAAAATCACATATGGCCCATATTAGCCACACAATCGAACTGGCCATTAATCTACTTAACTAATGTCTACATGTAAATCCAAAACAAAAAGGTGAATCAACAACAATGAAAGTTATTTTTGATAGATAAACAATTGAAAATTGGTAAGTCAAGCAATTCCAATTAAATACCAAATGAAACAACAGAGAACGATGATAAAACCACAGACAAGATAGGAACATATCACAAACTTTACCAACCAAGCACAATAATAGCAGTAAGTAAATCAAAGAAAACAGAGCAACCCAAACAAATCTGCAAAATTATCAAAGAGCACGGTATTAACTACACATGAGCGAAAATAAACTAAGAGAAGAAAAAGGACCTTTATTGCTGCATATACTCTAACATTTACAATGAAAGAGGAGCTCCCAAATCACAATCCTAAGACGATCTGTACATCAGGACTTAGACGAACCCGGCAAAATCGAACGATACCTCACTTTAGCGACGATTTCCGACAGTATGTTAGTGATGTTTTGTGCTGTTGTTTCATGGTGGTTTTGGGGTATTTTTGGAGCTGGAATTTGGGGAGTTTTGGGGAAAGATTTCGGGATGCTTTTTAGGGAATTTCGGGTTGTTTTGGAGCTGCTTTTAGGGAGTAATTTCAGCTGCGTTTTGGCTGATTTTTTGGTGAGTTTTGGGGTGAAGTCTGCTGCGTTTTCAGCTGAGTTCTTAGAGCTAAAAGTGCGACTTTATGGCCGAAAAGGGCTGGAGATGAGTGGAGTTTTGGAGGTGAAAATGTGGCTTTCATGGCTGGGTTTTCGGCAGCAATCGCCGGATTTTTGGTGCTGGTTTGGGGGCGGATTTCAACTGTTTTTGTGGTTGTTTTCAGGTGGAGTTTTAGGGACTGTTTTGACGGGATTTCGTGCATAAAAAGCTGCTAGTTCTAATGGAGAAAATGGTGATATTTCGCTGGAAATTTCAATGCTTTTCATGGAGTTTTTTAAGGAAGAAGAAGAGGGCAGCTCGGTTTTTCTCGTGTCTTCTCCCCCTCATAAAATGAGCAACGCCCCTTTTTTGTTCTCGTTTTATTGTTTGCCCCCTAGTCCCCTTCAGCCCTTGCCCCTTTTTGCTACATGGTCCTTTTCCTTTTTTCCTCTTTTAGTTTTTTTTTAAAGAATAACAAACAAAATTAAAATAGTAAGGTAAAATGTTAACTAACTATTCTTAGACCTAGAAAAGTATAAGAAATTACTAAAAAGACTTATAAAATACTAACTTATCACAAGAAGAAATCATATTTTTTGTGAATTTTCTTATCTTTGTAAATGGAAAATAAAACTAATATCTAAAAGTGTGGCTCTTTTTGTGGTTTTTAATTTTCTTTTCGATTTTCTTAAGAAAAACCTACAAAAAAGTAAAACAGAAGATTAAATATCTAGATTAATTTTAAAAAAAAATTACATGCTAAAAGTGGTAAAAAATCTAAATATAATCAAAAAAATTAGGTGCTCACACTTTTCTTATTTATACTTTTAAAAATAAAAGTAAAGTGGTTGACAAAACTTGATCCAACATAAAACTAAATAGTCTATGCACATGACCTTTTGCTAATTTCATTACTATATATCATCCTTGCATTATTAGAATTTTGACATTTCTCTAATTAAAAATCATCTTCTTGAGCCGGGGGTCTATCGGAAGCAGCCTTTCTATTCCCTGGGGTAAGAATAAGGTCTACATACACACTAACCTCTTCAAACTTCACTTGTGAAATTTCATTGTGTTGTTATTTTTGTTGTTGTCGTCGTCTGAAGACAAAAAAAAAATCAGAATTGAAGGACTTATGTGGAATAAGCATATAGGACTTTAGTAGTAATCCACAATGTAGGAAAAAATAAACTGATGTTCAATAAGAAAAGTTGTTATATAAGACGACTATTGATCACGCTCAACTCTAGTCCTAAAAAGGATAAGTGGTAGCTACAAATATAATTCGGTCTAAGAGTTCGGAGTCAAATCCCACAGAGAACTAAGATTTAGCTACAACTATTTACTATCATTAAGAAGACAAGCTCGAACAATTCCTAAGTTATACATATTAAGAATCTCATATCTAATTAACTAACAAATTAAAGTAGTAGATTAACAACTAAAGATACTAGAGGTTGGAGAAAATATTAAGGAGGTCTAGAGTTATGATTTTTTCAATTGTCGGAATCATTCCCTCTACATCATCTATAATTTTTCCTAAGTATTCTTTATCGATCGTGAGTACTTTAGGTGTCGTATCTCTCTCGAGCAACTACCACAATTTACTTGATGTATTCTCTCGAACTACGGTAGCTGGCACTAATTCACCTCTCACTACGATCGCACCAAAGTTTCGTTATTTCTAATCCCGCCTTTAAAACCTCAGTATTGATCACTCGCATACGTTAGGAGTGATGTTGTTCAACAACTACCTAAATGTGTACTCTCTCGCGAGCAATATACACACTAAATAGGCACAGTTAATTGAGAGCTCTTCAATCAACAACAATGAAAATATAGTTGAATAAGTAGAGAAAGATCAACAACAAATCTATATAAAAAACGTAATAAGAATTCATCCTTCAAAAGGTTCTATCAAAACCCTAGATAACAAATTAACTATTCATAATAGTATGCAAAACTCCAATACTAGAATTCATAACCAATAATGAAAATAGGAATAAGAAAGTAAAAGTAAATAATATTTTTCAATAGATGAGTGCACCGAAAATTTTAAATCAAACTACATAATGTTTAGAGCTAAATCATACGAACACTTATAAAAAAATCTAAAAGTTGGTATAACTCAAGACTAATTTTAGAGAAGACTTGCAGATCTTTCGTCTTAAAATGTTAATGTCCTGTCAATTATTAAAGTTAGGATTATTTTCGTATTTAGATTAAAAAAAGGCACTTATTACCCGCTTTAATAAGGGAGAAATTCAAAAATAACCAGATTTACAAGTGGTCATTAAAAAATAGCCACAGTTTCAAAAGTAATCGAAATTTAGCCACTTTTCATGTAAAGATAAATCTGAATGAAAACACTGTTCAAAATTAGGAAAAATACTCCAGCATAATATACTGGAGTTCCAGTATATTATACTGGAGTTCGAGTATAATATACTTGTCCATCATAATATACTGGAGTTTGGAGCACCGGTGCTCCATTCTCCAGTATATTATACTGGAACCAGCAAAGTATACCGGTCCAGCATAATATGCTGGAAGTTCATACACAAGTGCACCGAACTCCAATATATTATGCTGGACCAGTCTCTATTGCAGCAAAATAGTAGCTATTTTTAATGACTTGGCAAACACTGACTATTTTTAAATGACCAGTTCGAAAACTGGCTAAACCGTGCTATTTTAACCTTTAACGAGGAGAATTGGGCTTCCAAAAAGTAGCAAGTCTTTAACAAATATTGGTAAAAACACATGAATTATATAAGACTTGTGTATAACTTGCATACAATTATATTATTGTATACAATCATGTAAAAACATACAATTTTCATTCAAATTGCATACAATTTTCATATGTATAACTGGACATACAAATAACATACGACCCAAATACATCGAATTGCTTCCCAATGTGGTAACAATGATGTCATTGGTTGGATTATGGCATTGTCAAAGGAGATCAATTTATTACTGTCCATAAATTCCATAGATCAATTAATTACTAGCAATATAGAAGTTCTTTTTAGGACGAAGATAATTTATTTATTTATAATAGCTAGGAAATAGTTGGTGCTAATGTACCATTGTCTTCACTACTGCCACTTTGGGCTACACGTATGCCTCTTTAAGGCATTTTCATTTCCTAGAGCAGCCAGCTTAAAACATACACTATTCGAAATATTTCTTACACTACGAAAAACTTCTTGATCTTTATGGTACGTATCCACCACAAAGTCAGAGGTGTTACAAAAACACATAATTTATTTGAGTTGGGCTGTTTGAGTGCTACCTTTGCCAAAAAGTGTCACGGTTCAAAATCCAACTAGTCATCGTGATAGTACTTAACCCAACTTACTAGGTAAATCAATTAACAATAATCCAATTCAAATATGATTTACCAGGAACATAAATAATGCAATAACTGAAATTTTATAAAAAAATATCCATGGATTAGTAGTACAAATCACGAGCTTCTAAGATTTTGTGTTTACAAAGCTGGTACAAAATAAATACATCATCTATTCGAAATGTACATAAACAGATTTGTAAATCTAAAGCTACCAAGAACAAGAGGTAGCTATAATCGGAATGCAGGTACATCTTCAATGCCAGCTCCTGCCATACACAACAACATCAGTTCCAAAATATGCACACAAGGTACTGTATTGGGAAAAATTGAGTTTATATTAAAGATGACGTGGCATGACACGTGGTTTGGTTAAATGGTCAAAGCGCAACAATTGACTAAGAGGCACGGATGGAGACAGCCATGGGAAGAGGAATTTAAATAGGCACGAGACGAAGTGCAGATACGAGTCTCGTACCAATTCAAGTCATTTACAGCCAACGGATTAGAAGGCATTAAAGACAAAGATCTGATGACAGAAAGGAGTCCAAATTCATTATTAAATACCTGATACGTTAGAAAATTGGTATTTAATAGGAATGATTGTATAACGGCTTATTTAATATCATTTATTACTCATAATTATATCATTAAAGCTGAGGCTTCATTCCTTTACCTAGAATTACCTATAAAAGGAAGAAGTATCATCATTTGTAAGGACACGGAATACTATTGGGAACTTATTGAAATACAAAACTATTTGCTGTTTTACCATCATTCTCAAAAGTATTTTATTTTCGTCTCCTGATTATCAGTAACCCGAATTTCTTTTTAGCTTTGACCAAAGACTCAGATTTTTGGTTAAACAAATTGGTTCCGTTACCGGGAATCTGATAATCTTTTCTTTTAAGCTATATCTTGTCTATTGTCGTCACCATGTCAAACAACAACACCGACAATAACAGTAATAACACATTGGGAAACCATGAAAATCAAATACATCAAAATCAAGATGACGTGGTTCCCTCTCCTCCAGATTCACCACGTCAATCTCGTAAAGGCACTCCTGTTACTAAATCTCGTGCTGATCAACAAGAACAATCTGAACACTTTGAAGGAGTTACAACTGAAGCTTTACAAAAGCTAATTGATGCACAGGTCGGCAAAGCTCTTCAGGCACTTGTTAGTCGATTGCCTGCTGCACCACCCACACCAACTCCTAATAATAATACATTGGAGAATCCCCGTTCTGGTTTTGATAATTCTGGAAACGGAGTAACCCACAGTGAACCACAGGAAGGGGGACCAGGTAATTCAAATAATTCATATTTGCAAAATTTAGTACTAACCTTGCAGAAACAGATTAAGGAACAAAATGAGCGTATTGAACAAATCCCTGGAGTTCCGCCTGTAATAAAAGGAGTAGACATGGACAAATACTCACAACAACCATGGAAGCCAAGTGCTGCTCCCCTTCCAGTTCCGAAAAAGTTCAAAATGCCTGACATCCCGAAATATGATGGTACTACAGACCCGCTTGACCACGTGACTGCATTTACAACAGGTGTGAAAGGCAACGACTTGACCAAACAATAAATTGAATTAGTACTGGTCAAGAAATTTGGAGAAACACTCACCAAGGGTGCATTAACCTGGTATTCTCTTTTATCTGAAAATTCTATTAATTCTTTAGCTGAGCTTGCAGATTCTTTTATTAAAGCACACTCGGGAGCACAAAAGGTTGAGAAAAGAATGGAAGATATTTTCAAAATCAAACAAGGGGATTCA